TTGCTGTTACAAGATATATATCCTGTAACAAGGCATTCCAGCAACACGCAGGATCGCCTCACAGGCTGCCTAGAAGCACGGAGAGCGCCAGCTAGGGACCATTCCAGGCACTGCTTGGAATAAAGACACCAATAAATTAAGTTTAAAAATCTTTATGTGAATATAAAATAATTATTTCCAAAGCAAAATAAAAATCAAAGTTTAAAAATTAGTGCAATTTTTCAAGTTCTATGCAACATAGTGTTTACATTTGTTTTAAACAGAAGATGTAGACACCGATACACTGAAAACTAACTCTGGCTTGACTAACCGGGAAGAGAAAAAAGCAAAAAAGTATTGAGAACGTTACTTTACTAGACATTATCAACTAACAAATATTTGTTTTCATTTTCTTATTCCCGGACTATCTATGGCTACTTAAATAAAATATCAGTATTGCTTATATTGCTTATTTCCAAGTAAGTGTACATTGTAGAAAATAGAATACCTGTGTACTTTTTTAAATTAGGAAAAAAAAATCAGTTAGGTGAATATTTATTTTCAGTGAATATTTCCTAACCCACTAAAATACAGTTGTTTCAAAAGAATCTTCTCAAAACTGCTGCCTGAAACACCTTGAGTAAGAGACACTAATAATTAGTCTAAAATTTGTATTATTGCCACAAAACAGTCCTGCTTCATAGTGGTTATTCTTAACCTCATTAAAAAGTGTTACTAATTAACAAGTGGTATCTCAATCAGGAACTCTTTTTGCTTCTTTGGATCTATATTACCCGCTTTACTGGAAATTGACCAAAATTTTTCATAATGCTGACTAAATTCAGCAACGTTCAATGATTTCATCTCGTAATTGGATTCTGTTCATAACTGTGGTATCTGAGCATGACACAAATTAGTCTTGCAGCAGAGACAAGCAGCCTCTTTCTCTGTACTGCCTCAATAATAGCCATAGCTCAACAATGGTGCCTTTAAAAATCAAAAAGCCCCAAAACACTATTTACATTGTTCTGTCATGACATCTTACATATACAGAGTTAAGCTATTAGTAGGTTTTGTTTGACATTAATAAAATTAACATCAAAATGATACTTATTTTCATCATCCTTTCTGCATGCCCCAAATGAGCTGAAGTGAACACAACTCCATGGCTTATAATCAGTTATTTATTTCTACCGATCAGTGCCACATTCATTGGTTAACCCAGGTTTAACAAGTTACGTAATAGCTCCTTCACAGGTTCTCAGAAACCCAAAGATGCTAAATAAAATTATATTCACAGGCTTAAATTTTATCAGTTCCAAAAAAAAAAAACACCCAAATAAATAAAATTTCATCTCACACCCAAATACCTGAATTACTTTTGACATCCCCAATAAGGCTATTGGAGACGGCACTGCCCTGAAAAAGGCTGGCCCTCGTCTATAGCTAGTTTCATCACTATAGTTTCTATAGTTTAATTTCATCACTACTCAAGAGACAAGGCTCCAGTTAAAGGATAGGGAGCTTCTTGGTCATTTGTGGCCCGAGGGTCTGCAGTTTTGAGAAGCGTACATGAAAGACATTTGCTCCAAGGTTTCTACTACTCAGCACCTACTAACACAACTCTACTATTGTAAAAGGTACAACAAATACATCAAGTCTATTAGCTAGATGAGTATTTGAAGGATGTCCATGAAAGTTTTTGTGCTGTGAAGAACAAGGGTGAAAAGACCCATTCAACACAGTCAGCAACAGTTCTGTTCCACATTTCACTAGAACACACTGAATTACCAGGCTTTAGAATTACCAGGCTGAGACCTACTCATATTCCAGTGCCACCAGCATCTCCCACACCACGAACAGATTAAACCAGCAATCATATCTTAAAATACAAAAACAGTAATATCACTGCAGCAATAGAAGACTTCAAAACCCAAGAGGTAGTCAAAAGAAGCATAGAGTCCTGAAGAAACACAACCTGACAGACAAAATTGTCCAACAGCAGTTTGTTCGGAATAGTTACTGCTCATATTATACCTAGCATGTGCCTAGTTTATAAGTAATACTTTGTACAGATACAGATTTTGTGAGAGGAAATCTTAGTTGAACACCTAATACTGTAAACCACCACCACAATTAAGCAGCAACACCTATTAAACATTAAACATGAATATTCCCCTTTTCCACTTGCACCGTATACAATGCCCAACAAAAAAAAAAAAACATTAAGATGCTGGGGAAGGCAGAAATCAAATAATAGGCCTCAGAATAGGCATGCAAAATTCCAGACTACTCAAAATTCACAATTCAAAGCATACTGAAAATAGCGACTCCAATTCTGCAAAGCAAAGCTGAATCCAGCTCTCAAATCAAAGATGGCTTTAATTGTGAAGACAGACACATGCTTTAATTCATGCAGATGACTTTTATGTTGGATTACAGACTAGTACAGCACCCTTAAAGTAAAATGAATACGCTTACACTGAGTATTTAAGGGCTGCTGCAATTTTCCTTTAGGTGACTAATGAAGTTACAAATTTGTCTAGATAATATGTAAAGAATAGTGGATGCTAACAACTTTTTTAAAAATATGGTTAACAACAAAAATAGGAGAGTTTGTAAATAAAGTGACACAAGTTTTTACAAGAAGTGGTGAAACTTCCCCCCCAACCTAATTTCAGCTACCAATCCCGATTTCATTTTCCGAGATACAGACACTGGATTTACTATAGCTTACGCACTTTTCTCCCTGCCAGCAAACAATCTTTGCTGCCAAGGATTAGCAAAGTTATCTTTCCTTAATCTGCCTAGCACAATTAGCTCAGAATAACTATATTTAAAAAAAAGAACATTTGATTTCTACACATAAGATTGTATAAATAAACTGGAAATAAATGGGGTTCCTTCCCACCTACCCCTTCTCCACAAGGAAAAGCAGTGTATGAAACTCCAGACTTTTAAAACATAGCCCAGATTTTTGAATTAACATAATAGCTTTTTCCCCTCAAACAGGAAAAAAAAAGAGAACTTATTTGGTTTTAGTGAATTCAACATCTTAAGAGAGAGTTTTTCCTTAGTGTATATATATGCACAAAACTTTTTAAAATAAACCTCTAATTTTGCCTCTAACTTGAGATGACATGGCCTGTCTTCCATTATACAATTAGTCCTGAAATTATTACAATTTTTTTTTTTTAATAAACATTTTCTTGCTTCTGAAATTGTACTCCTGTATTCTGAAGAACAGCATTTTTGAAACATGGTGCCAATCTTTTAAAATTATTTTAAAAGAGCCCAGCAAAAATGCCCAATATTGCCAGTTTCCTGAAGTACTTTTTTGCATAACATTTCCCCATTACAAAAGTCAACTTTTCAGCCCAAATACATTAAATAAAATTTTAAATATATAGTGCCAATTTTTGTATTTACAATATATTCTGAAGGTAAATATAAATCTTTAAGTTGTGCTCGTAAATACATACTGCAGTTAAGAAATCTATTTCTACTTGGAAAACTATATGCTACTTTTTAGATACCACTGATCAGATTAATCACATCTCCATAGGCTCTGGTGTTGAATTTGCAGTCGCCCACCATTCTAACCTCCTCTTACATCAAGTAGTTAAAGTGAAAGCTACAAAATATTTAAGGACACTTTAGCATACAAGTTTTCCTCATGATTTAATCAGATGTTGCACCAGGAACTTTAACAGTGAGATTCCTTCTGGTATTGGTGACATGACGTTGCTGTGCTAGGAAGGAGCGTCCAGGACCATCTCTGCAGGCACCACTACCGCCAATCAGTCTAGCTTCCATACCCAGCTTCTGGAGGGCTAGGCTCTGTAAATAAATTAAGTTAATTTTACACTAAAGCAAAACTAAAAAGATAAAGAAAGTAAAGCAACTCCCCAAAATCCCCAGTAACCTTACTTCTGCAAGTCTCATATTTATTTATTATGTACACAGAGTTTCTTCTATTGTCTTTCTAATATAGCCTTATATTGCTATAAAAAGTATGCACTAAGGCAGAAGAATCCAAGATTCATTCATTACACAATGTGTTAAGTTTGGGTTATTGTAAAGTCGCTTCTTCTTCAACTATGCGGCTATTATCCATTTCATTTTACTTTCATTGTTTGATTTCCTATTCCAGTCTTCCTTTACGAAATCCTATTTAAAAATCTTGCTTTGAATGAAGATGAACAGATTTCTCTAGTTCTTTTCAAATCAAAAGTTCTAACAGTCTTTACAACACTACTGTAAGATGAGAAGAAGGCATTAGCTTCATTTCACAAATAATGCGCTAAAGACATGTTACATCTAAAGCAGGAATTTGGTTCCAAAGGCTTCCACGATCTGTCTCGTGTCCAAGAACCTCAAAATCAAACGCCTATGGAATATTCAGGAATTTAACTTGCTAAATCCAGGTGGAAGTTTATTATGTCAAAAGGCACATTACTAACATCTAAGTCACAGCCTGCATCAAATTTTAAGTCTATGTTCCACAGCACAGGAAGACAAGCAGAAAAGGCAATCAACTACTCTGTGAAGTTCTTTGTTATGTTAAAATATTTTCCCTTTGCACCGCTTTCAAGTATGTTGATGCTGATGTTTCCCAACCTATCTCACCTTGGGATGAGCACACAGAATCAGAAATACCCGCCAGAATGCCCAGAAGTTTGCTAACAAAAATAGTTTACTAGGAAGTAGAAGAAAGCAATCCCATTTTAAATTGGGGGTCTCAGGCTTTGTTCCTTTCCTTAGTACAATAGTTTTAGGCATGAAGTTATTCTAGCCTGCAAATTGGATATTCCTGGCAAACTTACAGCTAAATTACTGGCTTTCTCCCCTAAGCACCAGTTTATTGTGAATCTAAAGAGACAACCAAGATGTAGAACTGTCACATTTAGTAAAATGTGTTGTTCTGATTTTCTAAAGAAATCAGAAGTGAACTTTTGACCCACCTTGTTATACCATGCAGTTACAATTAGCTTCTCCTCATAATCACGTAACTTAGCAAGCTTGCATTCAGCCTACAAAAAAAAAAAAAAAAAAAAAAAAAAAAGAGAGAGAGAGAGAGAGATAGAGGGAAGACAAGCTCAGTTAAAACACAGGAATAACCTGCCTAAACTTAGTGCAAAACTTAGTATTTGTGCTGTATGTGCTCATTTTACTCTTAAACATGCAAAATAACTAGAAGACCTAGAAGTATAAATAAAGATACATCCATAAACAATTTGTGATAGAAGTTATAGGCTGCCACAAGAGAAGGATAAAATTTATGTCATAGAGATTGCAATACCACTTAAAAAATGTACTTTGAGGAAAGAAAACATTTGCATCAAAATCTAGTGTTTATCAGAAAGTCTGTAAATAATTTAGTAGTGTAGCAGTTAGCTCGTTTAAAAGTCAAAGACAAAAATGTATCCCTACTAGCTGAATATTCTTATCATACTGCTGAATTACTATTATATAGTGCACTAGTAAATACTACTACAAACACGTAAAAAAAAAAAAATTTGAGGCCACAGCACTTGCAAAGTCAGACCTTTAAAGTATACTAACTTCTGTTTGGGAATTTTGCATTTGCTCAGTTAACTCTTCTGTCAATACTGCCGTGTCAATACTGTAACAGAACTGAATGCAGCAATCCCGTTTTTCAGTCCACGGACCAATGTCAGCATTCCCCCTCGGGGAAGCACAGCCAACAAGGTATTACCGAATTAATAGGTTTTACTCTTGTATATGGTTTCAAGAACTTCACTATATGAAGCCACTGATATCAGATCTAGTATACTAAACAAGTCACTGCCAAAATACCTAGTCCATCATACAAACACAGTTACGTTATTACTGAAGAAGATCAGACCCTGCAGTTCTGTACAAGTTACTGTAAGGTAGTAAAACCACTAGTCTTAAACAGTATTTCACTTGCAGCTTTTCAGAGATTTTAGAAAGAATTCAAATTAAATTATTCAAAAATGTACACTGAAAAAACAAAGCAGTTTACTTTTCCATAGTGACAGACACTAGAATAAAATGTTAATTAAGCCGAGTTTAAAATCTCTAGGACGGCCTGTGCACTTGCTAACTGATGGCAGCATTTGAAGGGTACTGGATCATCAGGAAAAAACAGCTTGAGAGTTTAATATCTGAAATAGCGGAACACATCAGAAGTTATTAAAACAGAAAATTTTACCTCCAATGCTTCAACTTTTTTGTCTTTCTCTGTTAGCTGTTTTCTGAGCAACATAATTTCTGCTGATGCTGGATTTAGCTTGGGGTCTAATGTTTTTATCACCTACACAAGAAAAAAATGAATGCATTACAAATGACGTTTGATTCTCAGCAGCTTTGTATCTCATTTGAGCACAGGGGAAACATGAAAGCAAGCGGAACACCTGTCATGCAATAAAGATAAAAACCACACTTATCCAGCAAGACAGAAGACATTGAATGGTGTAAAATAATCAGTAATGGGTCTCACGCTTTAGCCTCAGCTCTCTCATACACTTAAACAACTGGAATCAAGCAATCTGACCTAAAAACGCAACACGCAGCTAATACTTTTATATTTGGGGCGAGAGGACAAGTCCATTTCTTTAAGTAACTGATGAAGGAGGAATGTACACGCTTAGAAGCATGCCACTTACATTTCTTGCTTTCTCAAGGTACATTTTATATCTTTCTTCCATTGCTTTCATATCTTCATCTTTTTTACGCAAAGCGGCTTCCAGCTCTCCAATCTTTTGGGCTATGTAGAGAAAATAATTAACAAAAGACATAGAAACCTCTAAAATACATAAGGTACTTCAAGGCTTCAGCGCTCTCTTGATTCATCCACAAATCGACTGTTCAGATCCTATACAACTTCCTGTAAGTTCTTACTCTTTTTCAGTAGTACCATAAGCTCACCCCGACCCTGAATTCTCATTTTGCAGGGTGCCATTCAAAAAAACCCAGCCACCTCTGCCAACCCCCTCCACCTCCTTCCTCCCACCCCCCCGTTTCAGCTTTAAATCTAAGTTCAAGTAGAAAGCCTTATCTAGACGAGAAATTGGCTATGGGAATCATTTCAGAAGAAATGTAAAGCAGCCTCATGAAGAAACTTACAGTTCTGATTAACATCAGGCTGGAGTTCTGCAAGAAGGGCCTCCTTCTTCTGTAACTCATCATGAACTTCATTCAATTCCACACAGTTTAAGACTTGAAAGCTTAAATTTGACAGCAGTAAACTAATTAAAAAATAAAAACAAACAAAGCTCTACACTTGGTCTTGTGATTCTTCCATGTTTAATAAGATTATCAGTATGTACTTTTGAAGAACTACAAAAATAAGTTGCGACTTCCCAATTGAGTCTCGCTTACCTAACACTAGATGCAAAAAAGAAAGTGAACAACCAAAAGACCCTAGCATCTCTTTAGTAGGAGATACATCTGCTGAAAGGATGGAAGTATTTCAGAAGAATAAAGTGGTTCTGAGTCTAGTAAGAGTGATTGTGATCACAATCTGATACAGAATCAGAACAGTTAAAGTGCCAGAGGCGATGAAGAGACGTTGAAACATACTACTATTACAAGATTATCATAATCAGAGTAGACAAAACTTGAACTTAATACTTAAGTCACTACGTGCATGGTTCTCAAGAGAGTGACTTGGAAGAACAAGATAAACTCATCACTATGGAGATTTAGGCAACTTCTGTGTTCCAATATGTTGAATTACTGTATGAGTTATATGCAGATGCATGTGCCTTACTTACATATGTGCTGCCAATTTCTGCTTCAGGTTGCTAGACTAAAAGAAAAAGTTAAGGCAGTTATATTTCAGTGTTTCATACTGTGCAATATTAACAGTGCTTTTACAAACAGGAGCCCAGAACGCTTAAAACAGCTAAACTAAATACATTTATCTGCAGTGCAAAGAAAACGGCATTTCCTTATGCATTGCCATAACGGCATTCGTCTCTCACGCCACACAGACACCAATTGCAGCATCCTTTATTCTTCTCATTATAGCACCACTTACTCATAAAACTAGAGATTTTAAAGAGAGGGAAGCAAATAGTAGGACAGTTCTATTTCCTTAAGGATGGGGAGGGGAAAAAAAAACAATTAAAAAGTCATGTAACAGGAGCTTTTCAACTGCAATGCAGTTGATATGGGGTCTTCTGGATCATCAGATTATAGTGACTGAGCTCATCTGCTCTCAACACTCTTGAGCCACATCTGCCAAGACTATATTATCTAAACTGAAGAAAACGCTTTCAGGCAGGCGAGAAAGCTTTTAGAACACATTAAACTGTCTCAACTGTTTACAAACATTACTTGTCATGTCTTTTGAAAGTTGCTGTTGTTGTTTCACCCAAAAAGGAGTGTCTGAGCTTACTTGCTCTTGATATTGTGAAACTAGTGGGTTTCAGCCTAATAAAATAAGGCATCAGAACAGCAACCTGCCTTCTTAGTGGTTATCAGCACTAAACACTGAAAAAAGAAGAGGCACAGCTGAACAAAGCGCTTGATGCTGCACTGAAGGATTTTAAACAAAACTGGCAAAGTGTCTTCAAGTTCAAGGAGTCTGAGCTTTCACTTACTCCTTCAGTCTTGGATCCCTGCTCCTGTAAAGTCTTTTGCAGATCCTCAATCTGCTGTTGTAACTCTCCAATACGCTCTTCATTTAGCCTTTTCGGAAGAAAAGCCGGTTATCATCTATCTTCTAAACAGGTCACAACATACAGTGAGATTTTTATTCTTCGTGCCTGGATGATAATTTTTCAGAGGGTTTACCCAACAGAACTTAAGCCACAAAAACTGATTTCAAATGCTCTCAGTTCCTGAGCTGCTGGAACAAATATTTGGAAGCTTTATTAAACACTTCATAACAAGAGACCTAGAATCGTTTTAAGCAAGCTTAACTACTTTAACAGCTTGCTTTCAGCAGTCATTAACTAACAGAGAAATTCAGACCGTATCCCAGTGATATGACAACATGATTTGTTTGCAGTTTTAGAAGCAGAAATCTTTTAATAGGCAGATATCCACTCTGGACCTACCAAGAATCCTTTGTTAAATGACTGATTCTTTACAAGAGCTAAGAAGAGAGTCCTCTAAACACCACTTTCCTCACAGCACGCTAGACACAAAGCTGCCACATTTCACCACCACAGGTTTAAGTTATTTTCCTTGTTTAATGCTTCATAACCCTTTCCTGTTTCTAACGATTAAGTTCATTAAGAAAAGGACAACTGGCTTACTGCAGAGTACTATACTGCAGATGCAAGCCACACTGCCTCCCTGAAGGTCCAGAAATTACATTTTGCTAGCTTTTAAAGTGCTATTTCATCCATCACCTTTTTTCGGTTTCTAGTTCATTCACTGTCCGGCGTTTTTGTTCTAGCTGTTCCTGAAGCTCTGTAATACGTTCATTTTCTGAGCCTTCCTGTTGCAAGAGGAGCATTTTGTTTTCATGCTGCAGTCGAATAAACATTTCTCTAAATCAAAACAACAACAACAAACATGGTTAATTAAGAAAAAAGTCACTCAGAGTAAGAAGGCAATATTCCCGTTCCCTTACTCTGTTCACTTTGGGAGTTGGGGAAGTCTCATTAAAATTGTAGTTAGGGGAACAACTCAATTTTTGATTAAAAGGCAACTTATAACTATCAAGCAACATAATATTTTTGAAGAGAGATGAACAAAGTCATAAATTAAGTCACTCCAAACCCAAATTTTACTGCGTTTCCACTTTACTCTGCCAGACTTTGAGTAGTTTTAGCCAGCCTTTAGTTATTAGTTACTCAGTATTATTTATTCATTCCATCTGCCAGCAACGAGATGACATTTGTTTAGCTCCTTACAGAGAATCTTGCAAGCTAAACTTTACCTAAAGCAATTTGATGTCTCTAACAAAAGAATGCAACACCGTTATAGTATGGGAAAATAATTAAAAAAGAAACAGAAAGCGTTTTAGTAAGCATCATGGAGGGAAAGAAAGAATTGGGATACGGAGTCCTATTGCTAAAAATATAGAACTTCTGTATGGACAATTAATATGATACCTCCCACCACCACCACAATGCCCAACACAAATCCAACTTTTTTGTCTTACCTATATTCCACTGGCAGGATTTCAGCAGCAAGATTATCATGAGTTTTATTATGAGAGGCATCTGCAATTGCATGAGAAGTTTTAAATTAACAAACTTCTAGATACCTAGTAACATACATTACAACACCTCTGCAGATAAAGCAGTACCTGTTTGGCTCAAGTGATCCTGTTGCATCTGTGAACACCGGAGCTCTTCATTAGTCTCTTTTAAAGCATCACACTGTACAATCAGTCTCTAAGAACATATATTTGAGGTAGAAATAAATCATACTGTATCATATTAAGAACAAATGACACAGATTCTGTGCTCCTGTCCAGTTACAACAAATTTTTTTTTTTTTTAAAGTACTAAAATTTCACTTGCATGGTAGCACTAGTTCCGAGATATTTTCCTCAAGATAAATTCTATTTGCAGAACATTTGAGTTACTTATTTACTAGGTGTTCAAGTAAGCTCTCATTCAAGCAACTTACCTCTTTTTCTTTGATTAAAGCTTCGTGTTTTTCCTCAAGTCGCTTCATTTCAAATGCTAGCTTATCTGCTCTTTTTGATTCTTCCGATAGCTTGTTGTGAAGCTCCTGGACCTTTTCATAAAGGTAGAGACAACGTTCAGCTTATGAATGTTTCCAGATGCTACCTTTAAAAGCTATGTTAAAACCTTCACTCCTCCCCAGTTCAGCCAAAACAAACAACTGGTCCTCAAGCCTTTTAGTTGCATTTTAATTAACAACAACAATCTTTTTTGGATGATTCAACAAGTTGAAGAAGTTACTTTCATTGTTGCAGGAGTTAAATGCTTTATTATTGCAATAAATATAATTTCTACTGTTTAAAGTTAATTTTTCTGAAGAAAGTTAAATATTACATGCAACTGATCTTAATAGCTGAAACGCTCTCTGTCAGGCACTCAAATTATCTCATAAAAAAAAAAAAAAAAAAAAGGAAAGAAAAAAAACCTCCAAACAATGGAAAACCAATTAGTTGAGAAGGAAGCCACAGGTAAGCTTGCTAGTTTAACAAAGGGAGGAAACAGTCAAAGATACAGGTTAAGCCCAAGGGCTGTTAAATTAAGCAGCTCAATTTTTCAGTGAAAGGTAACTGAAGTATCTGTATTTAGGAAATAAAGATATCTGAGAAAAATTCACAACTACAGATTTACCCCTACCTGTCTTTTGTAGGTTTCTAATTGGGCACGTGCTGCATTGGCTTTCTTTAGTTCTTCCTCTAAGCTGACTGTATTGTGCATATACATCATGTTGGTTTCCTGCAGAGACTTCACTTGTCTGCGAAAGTCATTCAGATCTTGTAGCTTTTTACGGTACACTTCAACAGTTGATTCCAGCTTACTTGCCTTATCTGCAGTAGTCCTTAGAGGATAAACAGGAATTAAATAAGAAAGAGCATGTTTCTTCAGAAGATTAAACAAGTCAGATTCTGCTTTCATACAGATTCAAGCTATTTGCAAAGGGAGATACACGTATCTCCGATTAGAATTACATTCCTACAGCTTTATTTTTAACTACAGAATCATGCAGACTAAAATTATGCAAAGATTGTTTTTAAAAGCAAAAAATCACTGAAGGGTTTAAGTAAGAGCGAGACTGACAGTATACGCCAGAAGTATGAGGAAGGGTTAATACATCAAATATATCTAGGGATGCGAAACGTCTCTAGGGAATTCTGCGGGGTGAAATGTAAGTGCACCACAACATCCTGCGCTAGATATTCATCTCAAAGAAGTGGTACCTGCCAAGGACAGACGTGCAGATGTTCTCATTACAGGGTTATACATAATTAGTACATAATTATACTAAGAAAATGATCATTAGCAGATACAACCAAGGATTATAAACTTATTATTAAAAAATACATGTGGTCAGAAAATATTTTGATCCACAAATAAGAGAATCAGTTATGTTTAGGACCTGACATCTCATGTCTCTAGAGGCTAGTATAAGAAAATTCCAGAAAAAAAGTCTTTTGCAGTTTATATTTATTTCAGATGTTATTTAAGAACCACTGTACAGAGAACACCTAAAAATGCTTTTATTCTATGTTTTATTCATGAGATATTATGAACAGCAGACCTAGTTTTGCAATATGATTTGCTCCAGGTATTTCTTGCATGTTTCCCTGGTACTCAGTTTAGTTTACACAAGCTGGAATTTTATGTTGAATTCTCAAAGGTACTATGGATTTCATCTCAATTTTTTTATAATTGTGTAGCTAGCCTAGAATGCAGGTATCAAAAGTTATGTCAAAGTTCAAGCTGCACATTTATTTTTCTGCGTCTGAAAAGACAGCCTCTTGCCAACACAGATGTCCTCTTAATAAAGTCCACGCACATATCCACACCAAAATCTTAATCCTTACAGAACTTAATTTACTAGCCCACGTGAAGCAGAGCAATGCCTGTATTCATTAAGCCTGCTTCACAGAACATTTCTAAACTCCTATTTTTAAACATACAGTAGTGGCAATGCCTGCAAACTGGCATTTCATCTGTGTTTTGTCAAGGGCTCATTTCCCAACGTTTATTTTTGATCTTGTTCAGGTAAGATTTCTCCTCAAAAGCAACGTCTCAGAAAAACTCTTATAAAGCCCTGGATTTAATCATTAAATCTTGCCAATACAAAAAAAAAGCTACATCTGTTACCTAAGAACATCGATTTCATCCTTCAGGGCTCTAGATTCTTCTGCCAAAGAAGTTAGTTCATCGTTTCTATGCTGCAGTTCAATCAATTGTTTTTCTAGATCTTCACAATGGACTCGATAATCGTCTTTTGCAGCTTCAAGCCTACCAGATATCAAAAATAAGAAGTCTCTTAAAAACTCTTTTGCATTACACATTCTGCTCATACGATGATCCATTTAGGGCTACTAAGAAAAGTCACTATTGATCGAAGGTGCCGCAAAATGAAAGTGGTACTGCATGCATGGAACAACATTTTATTGTCTACTTGTTAAATCACAATGGACTGCTTGTTGCAAGCCTATCATACACGTTTCAAGGGAGCATATGAAAAATGATTTTAACATACGGATTAGAGTGAAAAAGAATCTCTAATATGGTATAAAAAGTCAGTGCAGTCAGGTGATATCTTTCCCACACAGATCACTCTGGACTTATTTTTTAAAAAAGATGATGGAAAGCAGAAAGTATCAAATGGTCACAATATCACAAGTAGAAAATAATTATTATTAAAAAGAAGAATGAACTATTATATTTATAAGTGTGAGGACTATCCTTAAAACATGTTAGATTGAAACAGTAGCAGAAAGCTTTTAGAGTACCAAAGAAACTGAGATGGAACGTCTTAGAAGAGCATCAGAAATTCTTAGAACGTATTTGGCATAACAAACAAGGGTTTTTTGGAAGAGAGAAATAAATTGTTTCATACCTGAAGTTTTCTTCTTGCAGTTGTTCCAGCTGCAACTGTGCATGAAAATACTTTTTTGCTACCATAGTATTTGGATCATCAAGAGAGTCATCTAATTGCTCTAACCTGTCATTCATAACCTCATTTTCTGACATCAAGCTGTTTTTTTCATCCTGAAGGGCAGCCACCTAGTACAGATAAAACAGCATAAACATTATAAGACTTGTCCAATCAGAACTGTAGCAAGACTAATACCTCACCAAATTAGCGTATGAAAACGACTGAGAAACTTTAGAAAGTAATTTACATAGCATACTTAAGCATACAGATGCTTTAGTGTATGAAAGCTATGAAGCACTAAAGAAAATGTTTTTCTGAAAAAGACAAATTTTTATAGCTGAAACCATGGTAAAGGCATACAACGTGATATGGAGAGAAACTGGTATTTCATTAAAAAAAAAAAAAAAAGAATACCACGGACGCCATACAAGAACTTTTAAGTAGTGATGTGAAGGTACTCTCCATCTTGAATGTACTTAACAATAAAAAGCAGGATGGCACTGGCTAGCACGCTAAAACAGTACTGCCGTGCGCTCAGCAGTGGATGGTTGTGCAAGAAGCAGTTCCAGGCGCCATAAGCTTGTAAGCACACACGCAAAAGAAAAAACCTAGACAGCTTCATATAGAGCATGCATTTTTTACAACAATCAAACAAGTTCGATATTGGAAGTGTTCACAGCTAAGCAAATGAGAATACAACACTGTACTAAAACAGTAAGTATATTAACAGCCATAAAATGGGGAAGGATTAAAAGGATAGAACCTTTAAAGTTTTTCTAGTGAAAGCTGCTGTGTTAATATTAACATCCTGTCAAACATAAGAGCACGTAGCATGTGTTAGTTAACTGGCATTTAAACAGGGACAATGCACTTTTTTGGGTTATGTTCTCCTGAATCATAAAGAAAACCTACCTTTCTTATATTCTTGGAAAATATCAAGGAAGACTGAGACCTTATAAGTGAATTTATTAAGAATTAGTTTAAATGAGAAGTGTCAGTCAATATTATGGCTTCAAAAAAAACCAAACCAAAACAAAACATATCATGGTGACATTATCAAATAAAACATCAGATTTAACCTTAATGATGCAACATTAAGAAACAGCTTGCTTGCAATCATAATTTAAAAGTCTATCAATCAAGCAGATGTAAGAAACAGATCAGTAATTCCTGTACCACTGCACTGGCTTTCTAGGTCCACTCTTTCTTAAACACCAAATGTTAACTTACTATATACATGTGCATACACGCACCAGCAAGTAAAGAACGTATCTGAGACTTATTCAGTGTCAGACTTCCTGTTCAAGGCTCAGGCACTCTCTAAACATACACAACAGTCACATTTTTAGACTCTTGTTACTAGAACACCCATCTGAGGCTTCAAAAAAATTTTTCACACAATTCAAGTTAAGCTTTCTATCTTTGTTGTAGTTCCTTCCCGATGGCTTTCTCTTCTATTATTTTGACATAACAGAAGAGGTGTAAATCACTGGACCCCAATGTTGAAAAAAATTAAGAGATATTTTAAAACACACGCCACAGTATTAAATAACTGCACTATCATTAACTCAGCTAATTAAGCAGTACCTTTCCCCCAGTACTTCCAACGACTTCAGCTGGACCACACTGTTATGAGCAGCTGGCTTTGTGTTACCAACCATCAATTAAGAGAGAAATTTCAAAAGAGAAATTTGTGGGAGACAGGAGAAAGTCAGGACTGCTTCAGTGAGACAAACTAAGTCTCCTAATGGAAGCATAAAGGCAAGTTTATTTTTATTCCAACACCTCTAGAAAAAAAAAGAGCTTTTGAACAATTAAAACAATACTCTTCTATGTTTCACAAATGCAATCTCAGAGTTTGGCTGCAGAAGCAATCCTGTTGTACTTTTAAAAGAAGCCATTTTCTCCTGCAGGGTTCAAGTCACAAACATTTTTGTATCTCTGCTTTCACTAGGAAGGCTTACTACTGCTTCAAGAGAAAAAGGGAGATGAAGCATCGATACAATTCTAAAAAATTTCTGACCATCTGCAATTGGCAATAAGAGTTCCTTTTACATATATTCAACTCTTCCAGTCATTTCTATCAGTAAGAAAAGTAGAAATTGGCCTCTGGATTTTTTTCAGAGGCACACAGAGCTAGTACAGAACACCAGCTCCTATAAAAGGATGCTATCCAAATGTTGTCTTCATACAGGATCAAATCTAAGATGAACGGCCTCTTCACATAAACCTCTCTCTATTCTCAGATTGTAGTATCATAAAACAGGAATAAGACTTTGTACTAACAACTTTTTCTTAATTCTACTTAAATTGAAATGCAAGTTACTATTTATTATGTTTAACCATGTACTGTTTATGGTTTTGAAGTCCTTTCTCCCTTCTGTAAAGGGAGACCTTTTAAACTTCTCTCCATCAAAAACAAAGGTAGGCCTATTATCAGCGTGGTTTGCAAATGTCAACTAATAGATCCTTGTTTCCATTATTTTTAATTCCTGAAATATTCTCCATGTTGAAACCTTGCCCATAAGAAAAAAAAAGTAAGTACATCTTAGATAAGTTTCAAATTTCAGTCTCTCCTCCACACCTATGGAAAATAGCATTTTTTTTCCTTTGATTAAATCAAAGGACTATTACATGAATTGCATTTTAGGATATAGTTCAAAGGACTAAAAGCAGCAGTGATTGAAAATGAAATGGGTAATTTTTAAAGCCGTGTTTTACTGGCTACTTGCTACTAAGGATAAATATAAAGCTAGCTGACGAAGCAACCTTTGGTTTAACAGTTGGCAGAGGACCTCAACTTTATATTAGGAAATCATTTCAAGTAATCACATTTTGGAGTATAGAATTGTTGCTTTTCCCCCACAAACAGCAAAGAACTCTTACATAAACGTTAAATAAATCCGAAATTCACTGTGACCTTCAGAATTTTTGCTTCTTAATAATGACACCACTGCACACACCTAAGAAATAAGCAGGTCGTTGTTTCTTACCTGTAAATCCAGCTCTTGACATCTTTGTGCTAACTCTTCTTTTTCTGCTAGTGCTTCCTGAAGGTCTTCCAAAGCTCTTTTAAGCTTTTAAAAGCAAAGACAGTCAATTACTCTGGCCCATATCCAAAGCACTTACACTTCTGTCTTCCTAAGTGTCTCAATTACCCATGCCGACTGTTTAAGTAGAATACGCTCATGTAGAGTTACACACTCACGTACAGTTACAAGCCTAAATACATTTTTGGATCAGGGACTCTGTTCATCTTAATTACCTATATTTTAAACAATTATCACATGTAACAAGCAAATTACTGAAACTCAGAGTAATACTCAGACACAAAAGACCAACTTAGGCTAAAATGATATAGAAAAACACCATGAACAGGGGCGATGTCACAATTTCATAATCCCTGCCCATGAAAGGCCTCCAGTCCACTGGCTCAATACTTTCATGAATAAAATCCACTAGATTCATGCACATGGATCAGGTCTAAGTGTTGGCTGTCCCTCTTCCTCCTCCTCCAAAATAGAATTCATTGTAAGCACAGAAAGAAAACAGACTACGATCTTTCTCAATTCAACCTTTCATCTCAGAATAGTAATACTGGTGCTCCTTTTACGGGCAGGCGCTTTTAAAGACAGCTTCATTTCACGTGCAGGACCTTGCATTGTTCAGGTTATCAAGTGTTTTCAGGATCACTCAAAAATAATCTGAAAATTTTAGCCTGATATAGACTGAGCCCTGATGTAAGCCCTTGTCTTAATTGGAGAGCAGCCCATCTCTTCACCTGAAGGATGGCAAGATATCAGCTCATTTTTCAAGCTTGAATTACAAAAACAACAAATATTAAGCAGTTACCTGCTGTTCCATTTCACTTGATGCATCACTTGTGGAAGGACCCATTATTTCCTTGCTCATGAGCTATAAAAAAAAAATAGCCACAGGCAAAAGAGTAATTTAGATTTAAATATTCTGTAAACTCATTGTCCACTGAATATAAACTGTATCTTCAAGTACGTCCTTGTACTCTTCCTATATATCAAAGCAGATTAATAGTAATAAAACCACCTCATGGTGGGTAAAGGACTTAAATCCAGAATAAGAGGACAGATTTTTTTCCCCCAAATTAGCCAAGTGTGAGCAGTAACCTCCTACTGGATGAATCTGTGTCCTGCTAAATCAAAGGCAAGCCCCTAGCCAAGTCAAAGGGAGTGGACTAGAGGGCAGGATGGCACACAGTGCATTTAATAGTTATCACACTTCTTTGTGTCACGTTGCCACGAAGCAAACAACCAGAAGATCAGCACAGCTTTCACTGATACAAATATGTATATAGTATGCTTGTCAACAATGAAAGGGCTTTACTTCTTATTCAGAAGCTACAGTATTATTTCTAGATCTTGTTCAGAAGGAACGTTTGAACAGTTCAAATACAACAAACAGAAGGCTTATGGATTTATTTCTACCAATATGATGCTAATAGCTTTAAAAACTATACAGCAAATTTAAATCAGTAAGTTTTAAATCCGACTACCAGCTCCACTGCTATGGTGATGAGTGTACAATTACACGTTACACATGCGGTGTATGCGGTATGACACACAGGTATGACAGACTGCTGGCTTACAGCATAGCTCTGATCACTATGATAATCCAGTAAGAATAAAAGAAGATGTCAGAGGAAGAGGGGGAGGGTCTAGTGACAAAAATCAGAGAAACACAGCTGAGAGTCTGCAAGTCAGTTACTGAAACAATCTGTGTCAAAATGATGCAGCCTCAAACAGTTATGATCAGCATAACCATGGGGTCCAAGACTACAGCACTGGTGCAGAAACTTTGTAACCTGACTCCCATACAATCACTGGTTGGCTTCAATTAACTAGATATATTTTTTGTGCAAAGTAGGAAGTCTTAAGCATTTATCATCATCATAAGCTTTATTTTTTCAGCACACAACACTAAAATCAAAACCCCATCTCTTGTTATTGACCCTCCCAGACAATTTAGAGGAGCACTTACTTTCCTGATTTTCTTTGGATTGAAGAATAAAGATCAATATATATTCAAACTTCTCAGCTGAAAGCATTAGGCTATGTAAATTATTATTTACCTCTTGAATGGCAGTCATGACAACATGTTGAACAGACTCTTCGAGGGTCATGATATTCTGTATGTGTTCTATAAAAAAGAAGAATTTGTAGTGACTCGCAATAACATTCATCCTAAATGGCTTAAATAAAATGACGCATCTTTTGTAGAAAGACATAAAAGACACTATTCTCTGAAAAGCTATTTCCGAATAGGTAGTGCTCTTTTTACATGCAGCACTACCCGTAGTCAACATAAACAAACATGCTGGATTATCTTACATGCAGTTAGCCAAATTATTCATGACATGCCAAAGAACTGCACCCTAACAGAATTTTGTACAATATGCTTGCAGACAAATACTGCTCTATGAGAAATGAATGCAGCTAACGTATCTTTGATATCAGTTTTATGCATGTATTGTGCCAAAAAAAAAAAAAACCCAAACCTACTTTTTTTTTTAAAGTCATACTAGATAAGCTAAAATAACACCTCAGAAATTGAGTATTCTGTATGTATTCTAATTATAGCTAGGGCTCTATATGGGAATAGTTCTCATAACAGCAGCAAAGTTCCAGATGATGATATCTGTGCATGTAGGCCCATCAAGTTTCCATTATGTACAACATCAGGTCAGAAAAATGTAACTGGTATTTCTCTTACTGTAGAGATGTGTACACAATATGAAAGGCAGTTTCTAATATCAGTTTTTAATCTAATTTGCTTGATTGGTATTTGAATAGTAAGCTTTATGTTTTGGTCCTTTTTCCTAACAACTAGGAATTAAAAAAACCCACAAACACTGCAGGCTGTATTTTACTCTATCCTGAATAAAGTTTGAGTTCTATACAGACAAACTTCCTGCAGGTGTTTTGCTTTTAAGTGAACTCCAGTTGCACAATAGGCATGCTAATACAATTAATCAACAGTAGAGACTTTCTGATAAATAGGAGAGAAGTTCCCTTTACATCTTACCAAGACAAATTTTGCTGTTTGTTGAACAAATGAAAGTAGTATGTACCTTGCTTCCTTTCACAGTTGACCGCACAACCCAAAATAAGCTGCAGAAGCCTGCCCAGTTCAGCTGGATCTGAATTCTCAGATATCTGGTTTAAGTCAGGAATAAGTTCTTCTGATATCTGCTGACCCAAAAACTGAAAAAATTGGAGTGAAAGTAAATATGAACTCCCAGTTTTACACAACATTAAGATTTAACACCACATAAGAAACCTGGACTCAGTAAGCCATCCAGAACAAAAATATAGGCTATTAAAAAGTTTGTTACTGTAATACTCATGAAACAAAAGAGATCATAAACATTAGCTGTGGAGATGCACACTAGAAATATGGTTGATGAGAGACTACACAGATAGCAGTACCAAATTAGGAAATTTGGAGATGCCTACACAAAACAGATGTTCTCACCTTGTTTGTTACAGGGCTTCACATGCAAATCCCATGCATCACAAGGGCTGTGCCTTTCTTAAGCCAGAAAAGGCAGCTCTAAACTGTCTCCTCTCCCCAGTTTGGGTGCACGTCTGGGGGAAGCAAGCCAATGACTACTACCAAACTTGGCACCTCAAGTTTGCCTCTGAACAGGCCTGAACTTAACCTAAAGGAGATCGCTTTAAAAACAGTCATACCTACTCAAAGCACTTGGCACTTACTTAGTGCAGTGAAATGATAACTCTTTATTTAGAATTGATTGTTCTTAACAAAGAGTTGAAATTTTTCTATCAAGAGTATAAGTTTGAAAGTCTAATAACTTGCATGCTTTTTGAATGACCTATCCTACAGTAACGCTTTATTTTCTTGTAAGTTATAGGTTGCGGGGTTAGCCCTCAGATGAGGGTCAGTTTGCTTCACCAACAGAATCAATGACAAGATAAAGAAGGAACATAGACAACTAAATAAATCAATAGTTTATGGGAAGTATATCCAAAATCAGTTTCTTTTTAGTCCTTCAAAAAGCTTCTCATAAGCATAAAGAGGTTCTACTTCTGGGCTTGCCATGGAACAGCATGGCCTTTAATATCACAACTAAAGGCAGGCACGAGCCAGAAAACAGTAAGATGGACTGGTAAGTTTTTCCAGACTATGCCTATTACATGACTGTAGTGGAGCTCCACACAAAATTCAAAGTGTTGTTTGTTCGTTTGTTTTAAAACCTCATAAACAAAAAGCAGTACCGTTTTATGGCTATCATACTCATCCCGCACAAGAGAGAACCAACTATAAACCTTACTCTGCCCATGAGGATTTGTAACTGTAGCTCCCAAACTGCAGGTAAGTGTCATAAAAACTAGGCTAGGAGTTGCCGAATCTGTTCTGCCAAGTAGCAAAGGATTAAAAGCTTTACTAGGCAAGACCAAATCTGAACATACACACAAAAGTCAGAAGAACTCTGCAGTTTTGTGCTTCTGACACTCACCCAGGCAGTGATGGAGACATTATTTCCAGCTTATGTTCCGAGAATCTTATTTAAACGAATCACGCTCATGCATATATATATATATATACACACACATACACATGATACGCACATATACACAAAATCCAGTTTGTGTAGACATCATAGGAATTTTATATTAATTCAAGCGTCCCCATTTAACCAGATAATTATAACGAACTTTCCACAAAAAAGCCATTAAAATACATTACTTTGCTAGAATAAAAAATAAATTAGCTAGGTGAAAGAGAAGAATAACCATAATGTTTATTGCTCAGCACAACAAAAAAAATTGCTGCTTTCTCCATACCTCATGATAGTAGTCCATAATTCCTTGCAGTATCTTCTTCAGATTACTGGACTAATTGTACATGAAAGATAAAGTTACAGGCTTTTATTACAATTATTAATTTCTCTGAAATTACGTAACAATTTATAATCAAATGTTTACACAACTGCTCTAGGAGAAAAACACATAACGTTAGAGGAAAAGAAATACTGCAATAGAAAACCCCATGCAAAATGCTGGCAGGCACTTAAAACTATCAATATACACTTCAAATGCATTGAAATTAATCTCAAGTCTGTTTGAGTTTAATTCTGAACTGTAGTTCAGAATTTTTTGCGCTGTTAGATACACGCAGGACTGACACCATACCCAACCTCACAAAACTTTTACTAACTTCAGTTTTGAGTACCTTTATTCTCCAGTTGTCACCAACATCTTCTTTAATGCGACTAAGCCATGACGCATCAAACCAGGCAACATCTCTAAAATGAAATTAAATGATTAACTATTAACAAGCACACATTTAAATAAGACCGCAGACCCTCAGCATTAGATTATCAGGACATTTTACTATAGTCTCTGATAAAACATAAATTCCTGAAGATTACAAGTTATACCTGTGTCACAGGGAATTTCTATCCTGCTTGCCAAATTATATGGCATGCACCACCACATAAAACATTATCTTTCAGGACAGGAAGAATTCAAATATATGCTTAAATTAGCTTGTAAAGCTAGGGACACAAGTATGTGAATGAATGTCTGCTATGTTGAGTTTTTAATGCATGAAAATATGGTCATCATGTCATAAAGAAACATTACCTTTTAATGTCTGTTAATTTATTTAAATACCTACTTTTGCACATTTAGGTGTGTAAACACTCACTTATTAGTCAAAGCTATTTATCAAGAAAAATAAATTATTTTTTCCTACTGGCATTTCATAACTTCTGAATCTGTTTGTTCCTCCAGACAGATGTATATTCATTTCACTGGCAAAAGTAAGGATGAATTGTTGAGAGAGGAGTTTACACAAATAGAGCTGCCAAGAGGCACAACTACAGCATATCTAACAACATCTAATTTTCACACAGTACTGTTTATCCATTGGTTTCAGAGTGCCTAACAAATGACTATTATTATCCCCACTTACATATCAACAAACTTGGTTGTAAAGCAACTTGCCCCAGGCTTGTGGCAGTCTAATACCATAAGCAGGCAGTAAGCCAACGTTCTAGCTACTCCACCGGACTACTACTAACAAATCTTCACCTATGTGAGTGGTGATTATTTCTTATTCTAACAGTGTGACATCGTAGTTTGACTGATCCACTACTTTAGAAATAGTAGCATCCTGCAGGGACATACTAAGCCCTGCTGAGCAACTGTGGCATGGGGGCTTGTTAACCCACATAGCGTAGCAGCACTGGGAAGTGACCCTCAGAGAACCTCGACTAAGCAATTCTGAATCAATTTTCACCAGGTCCTAGGAAAAGGGCAAGCTCTGTCTTTATACAGCATGCTTTCAAGGACTGAGGTGTTTGGGGAGGGGGGGGGAGAAGTAATTTGTTAGTAATCAAAGACACAGTTTGAATAGAATATAGTAAGATAAAGAGATGATCATTCAAATTTCCCTTTTATCTGAGCCAACAGCAGCAATAAAGTTTCAGTGACACTTGTGCTGTGATACTGTTTCAATAAGAGACTGATCTTACAATCACGTCTGATGTAACTACAAGCATTAAATGAGTGTGACATTCAGCCCACTACCATTTGTCATCACGCCAATAAAATGGCATTATTTGTCCCAAGCAGGAGGGGATACAAAGACACACCTTTTGAATTTTTAGTTCCTCATTCCAAAGAGGACCATACCACTTGCAGTACACATATGCACGGAAATAGTTATAACGACAAAACTAAACCAGATTGTATCATTTGTGCCCGCTTATCCTTAAGTATGGTTCCAGAAATATTGCTACTTTGAATTTAATACTGCAGTATCACCTCTTGATGAGCTGACAATATAGAAACCAAATTATAAACAATAGTAACAATCCTATTGAGTCCTTTGTTTCAGTATAAACAAAAGGGACAAATAAAATTCAATTATTATATTAGCAAACAAAACTACTATTTCATAATGTAATTTACCATTGCCAGTTACTTCTAATATCAATAGAAGATTAGTGAGGGGAGGGGAAAAAAAAAAAAAGATTGTAGAGAAAGTCCTGGGCAGGAAAAGGGAATGAAATATATGCAATATCTCCCTATTACCTCCTCTATGCTTTCCCATTATTATTCAACTATGATATCAGCCCCAAAGCAACAACGTAAAGGCATACTTTATCTTCTACTATAAACTGCCTACTCTAAGTTTTAACACACAACAAACCCTCAGAAATGCTTACTGTTGTAACCACCCACCACTTGGGGGTGGGGGAACAGACTACACACATTCAATACAAGAACCTGAAGACATTAAATACCTTCTCTTTGAACTCAGGTATCAACTTACATTTGATGAAGCACCTGTGCCATGGCAACACCATTAGTCAAATCCTGAACATCTCTGCAAGGTGCAGCAGTATTGAATGTCTGCAACTGAAAGAGGAAAAACAACACGTTTCTTGATCAAGAGAGAAGGGCAGGAGACTAGTTACCCTTTTCCTCTTTAAAGCATAAGCCTTTAGCAAGACGTCTTTCTAGCTTAGGCAGCCCAAAACATCAAAATCCTTTCTGCACTATACAGTTTGAAAGTCAACCCAAACATCTCAGTAAGTCTGACTGTCGATTATGAATAGTACTTTCAATAGTTAGTATAACTAGAGTCTGCTTTTTCATGCTGGTCCTTTTATTGTAAATCAAATTATGGAATACTACGTTGGGAAACTAAAGGTATATTTATCCATCCTTCACATTAGATGCGAGTGCTTCATTCCAGACACATACTACCAAAATAAAAAAGTGGTATCAGAAGAGAGAATGAAGGCTGAGGAAAAACAAATTAAGTACAGGTGGTAAAAGACTGGATAACATAATGCATAACATCAATAGAAACCCCTGAGATTATTTTGGGGCAGAGAGTAAGGGAGAAAGTTATGCAAAAAACAGAAAAATGCAGTTATCTGAGAGCTATTGCACTCTACAGATATGAAGACAGCTGAGCAGGACTGAACAATTTTAAGCCCTGTGAGCTGACAACACATTTACTTGCCTTACATAGCAATTCCAAAGTTACTCTAAAGATGTTCCTATTAAAATATACAACTTCAAAATACCATACTTGGCTTACATAGCCAAGAAATCTTTACAGTATCCTGCAATCATTCGTCTTTTCTTGGTAAATAGCAGTTACCAAACATCTACCCTTCCTAGTGTTTAAACACAGGGCTGCATATAACTTTACTCATCTACATATTTCTGTAAAGATTAAGCAGCAAAGCCCCAGTTTTCACTCTTCATCCCTTATTACAAAACCAGATTATAGATGGAACCCTTTTACAGTTAATTTGCCTGACCTATCCCACATGAATTTTTTACAAACAATCTTTCTATTCTAGCTAGTGCTTCCAGGTACCGGTATGATTAAGGTCCCTTTGCACTAGGGCTACAAAAATGCAATTCCCATCCTAAAGATTAAATTGTCAACAGCTCAGATGTTTTGCAGCTAGCTTCTCCAAAAGTAACTCAAGTCACAGGAATACCTTCAACATTTCTACAGCCTTGTGCAGCACTGCAATAAATACTTTCACATCAGCTCTATACGTGATAAATAAGACTCTGCCCATCAACTTGATCTATTCCCACTACTGTTATAGAATCATAGGAAGCTCTTTTGCTAGGCTACTAATTTCTACCTGCAATTGTTAGTTTCAATGTATAAAGCCTTAAACCACTGAGGTCACTAGGCCCTCAGAACATCATTCCACAAAACTGTGTCTGTACTAAGTCCAGTCAACATTTCAACCAATCCTACAGCCTATCTTTGCCAGCCTATACAAAGAGAAAAGAATACAGAACAGATCAAGCATACCACCCTACTCCCTCAAAATACTCCATCGGGCTCCAGGAATTTGTGTAACCACTGACAGTAGATTTGTGTTTAGCAGTCAAAGGAGTTTTCTTCCATAATTTGGTTGAGGCACTTTTGGAGCCACAAACTCAGCATCCACAGATTCTGCAGGACTGTCCCCTCTCGTCCGAGTTAATCATTTGCCTGCTTCACTCGACATCCCCTACTACTTGGGCAGAAAGGCACAGTGAACAAGCTCTCTGTACTGACCCTTATCATACCCATTTCCTCCCAGCATTGTCTTTCCCAGGTTGAACAGGCTAATTTATTTAGCCTCTTGTATGGAAGCTCTTCCATACTTCCGAAGAGAATGGTCATCTTTCTCTTCGCTTTTTCTTGTTTTCCTTTAAGATCTATAGGATGGAATTACCTGAATGTCACCCTGTAACCACAGCTGAGGAAAATTAAGATAAACTTCACTAAAACAGGATTCTTCTACTAAGAAATATATACATTGAATGGAATGGAACCAAGTACACATCCTTATAATCTCTGCCCACTATGAAGTTTTTTTTTTTTTTTTTTAAATACTTGCTATGTTTATCAAGTCCTAAATCATCTGTCCATCTGCAAGAAGACTTTGCCAATTATTTTGTGACAGCTTAGCTTCTTCAAAGGCCACAGGTGAATGATCCTGTCTAATGCTTTTGGGAAATGTAACTACTGGGACAGAAGTAGTTGAAAAGCATAGTTTGCAGTTTTGAGAACTTGAGGCAGTCACTGCACTCCATTGTTTATAAAGACCAACCATGTAATCAGAAAATTTGTTTCCTTGCTTTAAAAACAAAGTCTAGTCAAGCCCAGAAGAGAACAATATGCATACTGAGCCTTAAAAAAAAAAAAAAAGAAGGTAAATAAGTATTTTTCAGTCCTGTATTAGGGCAAACAAAGAGTCAATAATCCCTTGTAGGTTACATAAAAGATTAAGTACAAGAACGCAACCTGAAGCGGTTGTGATTGACAGCCTTGGTTTCTAATACTACAGCAGCCTTAATGACAACTCAAGAATGCGCTTGGAAGCTTATGAGTCAAGACTGGGCATGCCAGAATTCAGAGTTTTATGGTACAATATTGTGATACCGCCATTTGGAGAGACACAACTGTAAACTGAAGAAGTTGCTAAGGTAACAGGCCCTACCATTTTGCTTCTACAACCAAGACTGTTCAAGCCTGCTAAAGCAAGTAAACAAAGCCTTAGACAACCTTGTGATGTGCAATGCTGCCTTATGCATGTCAGCATCTCTCAGAATAGAAACAGCTAATTAAGATTAAGCGAAAAGCAGGACTGTCACCCCAAAGAGCACATTCTCTCCAGGTGCTCCCCACGACCCCAAATCACTTAGGACTACCAGAATTCCTCAAGGCTGTCCAACGGATGTTGGCTGACAACCTGCATCTGCCTGCAAAGCTGAATCTCATCTTCAGCATTTTCCATGCTTCTGTGTGCTTTGCTACACCTTTACAGTTAAGGCGTGATACTGAGAGTCTTTGTTTCTCCACATACTTAAAAGTTACATAATTACCTAGAAACAATGAGAGCAGAAGTGTTGAGTTTTCTCCAAACCCCATGCCACTTAAATGTCCTCAAAATAGAGATTTTTACTGATTAAAAAAAATAAAGTCACTGACAGCTGAGGGTAGGAGGAAGAGGTTGTTAGAAGCAACCATGGAGTCCAGTACTGCAGCGATACCAGTCTTTCAGATTCAATTAGTTTTCCTACATATAGCTTCAAAGACATGCTGTAACTTATGCTGAAGACCATTTCAGATATCAGCCATGAGCTTATTCAAACACACCTTGCTACTTGCTATCACAAACAGAGAGAAATTTTTTCTCTCAGACCTACAGCTATTATGCTGGTAATATAATCTGAAAATTTGAAAACATAGCACAATGCTTTTTCTCTGGATCAACTGAAGGATTTATTAAACAGCTGCAGATTAAACAAGACTACATTAAAATTACACAGCATAACTCTAGAAACCCATCCAACACTTGAGAAAACATTCCCTCAATTTCTTCTGGAGAATCCAGGTTTGAGGTACTCCAGTTGATACTCCGACTACATATGCTAGGGACAGAGTTCTACAGTTAGACAAAGAGATTTTGAAGTATAATAAAGTATAAACATTCTCATCCTTAATCCCAGAATTTTAGTAATGATAATTCAGCCACAGGGAAAGATAGCATTACAAAGGCCAGACAGATGCATGAGTACATCTATTGTGGAAAGAGCTTTCTATTGAAGATATTACCATATATAGCCATTCAACTGTCCATAAGGTAGCATTTATTCATATAATACATATGACCTGTGTGACAAGACAGATAAGAGAGAAAAAAAAAAAAAAGGAAAAAAACCTTCTTTCAAAATTCACTTTTATTAAAAAAAATAAAACTTCAATATACTCACCAAACCTGTAATACTACTCATTAGAGCTGGAAAGGATGAACTAGCCCTGCCAGACTTTAAGCACTCTTCCTTTCCGAAATGGTTTAAAAACTATTTTCTTATGCAGCTTGTAATTTGTGCGTATGAAGTTTTGAATTATGTTCACTCAAATCAGATTTCTAAAATACACTTTTAGGAAGAGGATCATATCTGAACAGAAATAAACCTTTCCTGTGAACAAAGCAATAAAGTGGATTTTCATAGAAGTTAACACTTCAAAAAAGCACTGTGCCTCCGTTTAAATAATGCTGCTATCTCATGAGTTATACACACCAAAACATCAACACAACATAACACAGCAAAAACAATAGTTAGGAATTTTAAGACTAGTCTGAGCGTATCCCTCAGTCCTGCAAAGTACCTAATGGATACTTCAAAGGCCCTGCAGTACACCCACCATACCTCAATGGAGACCTGTTATACAGAATCAATTCACATATAAAGACTTCTCTCCAGATGCCTGCTCTAATCAGGATTCAAAGACTAAAGCAACCTCCAAGAGGTAAAACATCAGAAGACATTCAGGAAATTTCTGCTCTACTATAGTAAAGAAAACACCTCTTTTAATGGCATCTAAACATAAAAGATACCATAGCATCACTAGGCCTACTGATTGCTGCTTTTATCCCCTCATTGTTACCCTGAGGTGGAAAACATTAAGGTTTATTTCACATACAGTAAACAGAGTCCACCCTTCTGTGGGACTTAGAAAATTCAGCTCTAAAGCCTGTTGCAAAAACAGTGGTTACAAGTATTACCAGAAGTCGATTTTCCTTGAAAAATAAAATACGTTAAACTCTACAGGGAATGTAATTCCATTATGGGTTTTTTGGGTAATATCCTTAAAGTTTTAAGTTCAATGACATCCAGCTTGCAGAAACTCTAGATAATGTTTTTTTATTCCTACTTTCTCCTACATGGAGTGCATGTTTTCTAGTATAAACATTGATAGAATAAAAATGCACTATCTGGCAGCAGAACACAAAATCTGAGCGGGGTGAACATGTCTTTGCTATACTCAGGGACAAAAAAATTGAGAAGTCTATTTGAACTATACAGAGTTACAGAACCCTTTTCTCTTCCATTACAAAGCATTTCATTCTCCTTTCCCCAAAAAAGCTCTACTCTAGAAGATTTTTTTTAATTATTATTCAGTCTTCTATGAAGTTCAAGCTAAAAGAACTTTTGAAACATATCTGAGTTAATGCTCAGCTTCTACTAAGTTGTAAATTAGGTCAGAGAAATAAGGTGCTAGATCTGAAAACAAGCAGATGGCAGCGTATCCGCTGAGTACTGCGTACACAACTGGAACATACTGAGCTGGATATTCATTTGCATTAATGACCCTGTATGATGCTCTTTTAGTTTGAGGCTAGTTAAAGTTCTATTAGCATTCACTTTAAGCGATGTTATGTAATTAGATCCATGTAATGTGACTAAACTAAAAATGAGAATTAGACTTTAAATATTTAAGCAGGAATTGTAAACGTATTTCAACACTGCTGAAAAGAGTTTGAGAGAGTTCAGGAACATATATGCACAAGCTGTTTGATTAGTTTGTTCTACAACAGAATCACGACAGAGCTATTTTTCTCATCTACAAATAGAAGATACAAAGCTGAAGAGCACAAAGAAGAGAAAGAAGAGAATGCATCGATTACAAGATAAAGAGTATCCGATCCAGGAGAGCTAAAGTATAAGATGTCTGCAACTCTAAACAACAAATTAAACATCAGCATATAAGGTAACTAACAGGAAAACAGAAGGAGGAAAAGAAAGGAGGAAGCTGTTTTTTTTTTTTTTAAAGTGTTTTATAAGAAATTGAACTGTATTAGAACTTCTGTATTGTCATGCAGAAAGGAGAAGGAACACCGCTTCTGGTAGCTAGCATTACATCGCTTTTGCCCTGGTTCTTGTCCGTCTCTGGTTTCATTTCCAGACCTCCACAATGCTTCTAAAATAATCCGTTCTTTCCTTTTTTCATGCTTAGCATATCCAAAATAACTGTTATCGCTAAAGGAAGAGTCCATGCAAAGTAGTTCTGGCCTTACCTGCCAGGATTTTATGCCACACCTGCACAAGTAGCTCTATTATTTAAGCACAACACGCTCTTGCCAAGTTTGCATCTACAAGACCAGAATTACAGACAAGAAAGCAGAGAAAACCCAGAAAGAGGGGGTGAAAAGAAAGGAAGCTTGATTAATGAATCATGCTTCTTGTGTCTGTGGTACGCTGCATCTGGGTGCAACAAACGCTCCAAACAACTGAGGGATGGTAGGAGATGAAGCTCAGCCTCAGCTCTGAGGTTTCTGCTTCTGCCCAACTGAATTCAAATTAACTGCATGCATTTAATGTTATTGTTAATTATTGCGAGGCTTCTACATTAAAGGCTTTGCTGAAGAACCACTAATTGGACCTACAGGATATTCAAAAGGTTGCATCTACACTTCAAGACTGTTACTTCTGCAAGAGTCTTGGGGGGGGGGAGGGGAAAGGAGTATAAAAGAAAGATACGTATTATAAACACAGCAGTGTTTTTATCCAAACAATCGTCACTTTCTGCTCATTTGCCTCTTACTCAAATCTCCCACCTCCGAAAGCACCTGACAGGAGCGGCAGCGAGAACATCGTCTTATTCCCTTCAGGGCAGCGAGGGCGCAAGCCCCCCCCCACGATGCACAACCGACGAGCCGGCGGCAGGGCCG